ATAATTCAATTTTTAATAGTATTACACTAGTTAATTATGAATGCCACGTACTTCTTTCCTTCTTATATAATAAAATATTGCCTTTCTGAGGATTTCCGAGCGTTTTACATGGTTTTTTTAGCTGGCATTGACCAGATAGAACACAATGGATTTAAGGAGCAATAATTGGATACATTCTAGAAGTTCCACTGAGGTTGAAAAATTACCAGCCCCAAATATCGTTTGGGCGCTTGCATGGAAGTTAGTTGAGTACGCAATGAAAATAATAACCCGTTCAATTCTTCCGTAAAAGTGGAATATTTAGATACAATTTTAGAGCTGCCACTATTATTTGTTAACTTGCTACGATTGAAGAAAAAATGAATAAAAATTTCATAAAAAATGTTTTTATTTTGACAAAAAATAAACTGATAACATTGTTTCTCAGTAATCTCTATTAAAAAGAAGACAAAAAGTATTAAGGATTTTCCTCCAGACAGGCTGTTCTTTTATATTTATTATATATTTATCCTACAATTTTGGCGATAGTAATTTTTTTTGGTGGAATCGTTATATGTATTAGTATTGCCTCCTAATGATAAGTTCAAATTTTCGTCATTATAGGGCTGGTGCATTTGCCGTCATTTTGATAAAAATGTAGGATCGTTAATCTCTGAAACCATTAATCTTATGTAAAAAAGTACGATGTCTTAGGGAATTAAATTCGTTATCATTTTGCTTCTATAAAAGTTTGTCATATAGGTACACAACAGGTTACAAGAAACGGGTAAAGGTACAAGTAATATTTTCGCTTACAATGACTAAGCTAACAACCTAAGCGTATACATTTAGCTTGTGAAATGGTTTTTTATTCATATCGGTAAGGTTAGCTCGAATACTTTGATATAAAATGTCGTTTGAACGAAACTTATTTAATCCATTACCACTGGCAATCAATTTTTTGGGATGTACAATTAGGCATACTACGCAACTCTATAAATCATTAACTATGATCAAATGACCAGTTTAAATTGAATCATGAAAACACCTCATCCAAGAAAGTCTTAAGGTGGCTTTTTTTTCAACTATGCAACATAAAGCATGCAAAAGTCATACTTTTGTAATAGACTTTAGGTAGTGTTATTTACGTAACGAGTACACTTATTTAAATAAAAGCAAGTATTATTATTATATTTTATGCTTTTAAAAACAGTAGTTACCTTCAAATGAGCCAACTATTTCACCCGTCAAACATAATCTTAAAAAATTACTGATTTTTAAACAATAGAAAAATTCTCGGATAAAACAATAATTGCAAATAAATTGAGCATTCTGGTTAGTTATGATTTGACTCATTTTTGACTACCTCATCGTTAGATGTTACTTTCCCTACATTTTTCAGATTTACAAACGTGCAAGGTTTACCTGACTTTCTGTTAAACCTAATTCTACTGAAATCTCGTATCTTCTAAGTCTCGTCAAATACTTCGAACGTTGGAATTCTGCCCATAGTCCGAAAATTTGTTTATCTGTGTACGTCGTTCTCTCCTTCCTTGGCTTGGTACTTTTCGTGGGACTAGTACCTGAAACATAACATTTCACTATAATCCAGATGCAACAGGATCAGACCATCGACTGTATTGTACCTAGGTGTACAGGGTGAAAAGACAGATGATAGAAATGAAATTTTCATAGACCCTTTCGTTTCAGTGATACAGGGCGAAATTGAAAATATTGCTTTTTGGGACCCCCCTCATATCTCCGTTATCCCTTAACATATCGCAGAGCTAAAAATATACGTAGAATACAGTGGCGTAGTAAAATTTTTGCTGCGAGCTGTCAATTTTTAGCTATAAATTAAACTTAGTTTTTTAATGTGACATATGTATGTATATTTTTTTCGTTTTATTGAACATTTTGTAAGCTTTACAGAAATACTCGTATAATACGTGATATGAATTTTAAATAATAAATCGAAAATTAATAATTTTACAGAATGTCTATATACCTACGTATTATCATAGTGTGTATTAACATAGTATTAGTAGCCCTTGACTTTGTTATATACATATTATTTGTTATAGCACATTACAGACACGTACATTCTGAAAAGGCTAAATCTAAGTAAGCTATGAACAATTTTATAGACTAACGGATAATAAAACTAAACAAAACTTGTAATATTTCATCTTAATATTCACATAAAATTAACCTCGATATTAACCCCTTAATAAACTTTTACACTAAAGGAACTGCTCAAATGATTGCCATTTTCTCGAAAGCAATGTAGACATAGGGTGGTTTTTCTTTTGAAAACATTTGAAACAATTATGGAATGCGATTGCAAGTTTTGAAATTCCGCATTGGTGGCAAATTATAATACAGTCGAATTTTCACGACTTTATTCAGTATCTGAATAGAAATCACACTGATATTCAGAGAGCTTTAACAGCTTCCGTCAAATTGCAGTTCAATAAGGTCTTTTCCTGTTGGTCCAAGCTGACTAACGATGGTAAGATTGGCCCCTAGAATGTTTGTTAATGATATTTTTCTAGCAAATTAAACCATTATATCTAGAATGAATTTTCTTTATAAATCCAATTTTATAAAAGCATTCCTACAAATTTTGCTAAAATAAAACCAATGAAGAATTTTCTATATACCTACACTGAAAATATATATCAGATTAATGCTTGAAAATCCATATTAGATATTTAATCAAAATATAAAATTGATATTCAGAAATATTTCCTCTATAATGAATATTTCATGAATAGATAAGAAATATATTTATTAAATATTAAAGAACCTGTCGCTACAAATATTTAGAAAACATTTTTTTTAAATATTTAATGCTATCGGGGTGTGAAGTCGTCTGCTATAAAGTAATTAAGAATGGAAATAATAAACAGCAGTGTAAGAACAGAATGGACATTTATTTTAAGTTTTCCAACGTAGTATCTCCTTCTTTCCCGTTTCCTCATTTTTTTCTTGCAAGCCTGAAGCCATAGGGAGCAATGGTACTGTCGCTCCCCCTCAAGGTACAGTACTGTGTTTTCTACTTCTACAAATCACCTGACAGCCGTATGCCACACAAGTAGAATGCAAAGTGGGCAGATTATAGGGTATTAAAAGGGGCGACCACTGGAAGTCACGCATAATTGACAAGCAATCATTTACGTATGCGGCAGCAACAGATGTGGCGTTCCCTGGAGATCCCCGAGATGCATGCCAAACGGTGCGGCAAGGCACCGCCTCGGATGCATGTTGTTTTTACAAGAATCTGATTTATATCTATCGGACGAGGTGTCTTCAACAGCCTTGTTATTTGAGCAGGTTGCAGGGAAGACGTGTTTATTTTTGTACAGGGTGATAAACATGAGGCGGTGGGAAATTGGACTAATTCAGTTCCGACACGTGGGTTTGTTCGTTGACAGATCTCGTATATTTTCTTGGTATTCTTTGTAATAAACAGATAACTGTCTAAACTCATTTGAACATTAAATTGTTACATGCTTATAAAATGTTATGCTTTTACCTTGGTTTCTACTTTCATTACATATACAAAATACTTCTATAAAATAAATTACGCAAATATTTTTGTTGTGTATACCGGCCGCCACCATTGGAATCGCAGAAACGGAGAAGGTACAAAGTTGGTTAAATTGGGGCAGAGTTGCGCATGTATGTAGCTAACAATGAAACTTACAGAGTTTCGCAAGTGTTTTCGGAAAATAAACAGTATTTTTTATACTTTTTTCTTTAGCGTGGGTTTCGAAATTAAATTGCACATTAATTGCTAGAGGAGAAGGTGTAAATATGGAATATACTCTGAATATGGAATACCAAGGTTTTGAAAAAACCAAGTGCCGGTAATATGGAATACTGGTATTCCATATTTGCACTATTTATAATATATTTTCAAATTTATTATTTTTTTAGGATGCCACGACGTACAGATCGTCGACCTTCCGGTCCTAAAAGACAGAAGCAATACAATGAACAAGACATGGCTAGAGCTATCAAGGCATTTAGAGAAAAAAACAATGGGATATCCAGATCCTTTAACGTTCCACCAACAACGCTCTTTCGACTTAGTAGAGATGACACAGTTACTCCAGACAATGCTGCAGTAACAAAGCTGGGAAGAAAATGTATTCTGGGTTCACAGCTAGAGAAGGAACTAGTGGATTATATCTTAGCTATGGAGTCCAAATGTTATGGCCTTATATCCCAATAATTAAACATCCATTTTCTCCAGGCAGAGCGTGGATTGATTTGTCCTGGAAGCGGCATCCAGAATTGTCAATAAGGAAGCCAACGGGTCCCTCTTTTGCAAGAGCTGCAGAATTTTGTAAGGAAAGGGAGGATGGCTTTTTTGACCTCCTGGAAAGACAAATGCCTTACTCACCACACAACGTGTATAACGTAGACGAAACAGGCCAACGATTGTCCAAAGTAAAGTATCATCAGTAGTAGGACTCAAAGGGAAACGACAAATTGCTTCATTAACATCTGCAGAGCGAGGGGCTTTGATTACAGTCATTTTTGCATGAGTACTGCTGGAAACTTCGTCCCTCCCTTAGTTATTTTTCCTAGAAAAAATATGAAGATGCAGCTAATGAAAGGAGCTTCTCTTGGGTCCGTAGGAGTTGCACATCCATCCGGTTGGGTACAATCCCATATTTTTACACAGTGGTTCCGTCACTTTATCTAATACGTTAAACCAACTAAAGAGAACCCTATCCTGCTAGTTCTTGACGGTCATTACAGTCAAACGCGCCATATTGAAATTATTGATCTTGCAAGAGAAAATTTTGTCACTATTTTGTGTCTGCCTCCTCACTCTACACACAATCTTCAGCCGTTGGATAAGTCATTTATCGGCCCATTAAAAGCCTATTACAGTGAAGAGATTCGTATTTGGATCCGCCACAACCAACGGGCTCTGAGCCCTTTTGACATTATGGAGTTATTTGGTAGATCTTATGAAAAAGTTCAGACTTACGCAATAGCGGCAAATGGTTTTCGCGCCACTGGAATTTGTCCTTTTAACAGAAACGTTTTTTACTAAAGCTGACTATATTGCTGCAGAACAAGAAGCAGCCATTGGCATTGAAAACCACTGCTCCTGTTGACGTTAACGAACCATCCTGCTCTAGAGATTTTGTCGAGCCTATCGATATCGATCAACCTTCATGTTCTAAAACCTTATGCGAAGATAATCAGAACTCAGACGACTGACCAAGAAAAAGAGCAAAGCTCTGACTCAAAAGCTGACGACACTATAACAAAGTAATTCGTTTCACTGTTTGACAATCCGCAAAAAAACTAACAGAGGACGTAAGGTAACGGGTTCGACTGTGATTACCTCGTCACCATACAAAGATGAACTAAATGAGTCAATAAATAAGAAAACTGAAAAAGAGGCAAAAGTGTTTGGCATTAAAAGAAACTTGTCCTCAGGAAAATCTTTAAAACCAAAAAGAAATCCTCAAAATCCAAAACCAAAAATAGTAAAACCTAAAATCCAGACCACATTAAAACTTCCAAAGAACGCAGTTTCCTCTGATGAATACGAAAGTTCCGAAGATGTAAGACTTGACGACTCTGACAGTGATATAGAGAGTATGCCGGGACATACAAAAAAAGGACGATACTTCGCATGTTTTGCAAGGCTGCGTTTTCTACTGGTCAGCTACTGGTCAGAGAGGAGAATTATGGGTACAATGTTTGATGTGCTCAATGTGGGTACATAACGAATGTGCTGGGGCCGAGAAAGATGAATATATTTGCGAACTGTAAAAATGTGTATTATTTTCTAGCTTAGTTAAGGCATTCCATATTTACACCACCTTTTCTCAGGTGGTGAATTTCGATTTTTTTCAAACTATTTTTTTGTAAATGTTTTTTGAGAGAAATACACTTTTGAGTTTATATTTATACGTCTTCATCCTTTGAGTACATGTTCCCCAAATTTGGCGTAATTCTGAGCATATTTCTTAAAATAGGAGCGAAAACAAATGGTATTCCATATTTACACCTTCTCCTCTACTTGTTCTCCTCTGCAAGGCAACATAACTAGAATGGCAATGTGACACGTCGTTTCTTGTTATCCATCATCCAGAATATTTTTTCTTAAAGTCGCTAGGTTGGATTTTTCACAGATTAATTCGAAACATGTACGTCTGACATATACCTGCGAAAGGTTTGGCAATGTCAATATGTAACATAGTATACAATTTTGGAATAAAAATAAAAAACTCTATATACCTATGCTAAAATCCAATATCTCGTCTTTAAGAAAAAATAAAGTTGATTCTGTGAAGAGGTGGTGATGTTAATGTGCAAAGTTAGGAAAAATCTAAAACAATCTTGGGAAGATTCAGTTTTTTCCGTCTCTTTAAGGGTTGTCCAATAGGGACGCAGGAAAGTAAACGTCAATTTGACATAGACGCCATCTTTGTTTTCTGTCACGGACATGTCATTTTGTTAGTTGAATGTTTACCATTGATCGCTATGGAGTCGTATTCGATTGAAGACCGCATTAAAGTTATTCAAGAGCACTACAAAAATGGTGCAAAAATAAAAAACACGTTTCGCGCGCTTCGTGAATATTTCGGTCGCAACAACCGCCCAAACGAAACAACCATCGGTCGTCTGGTGCGTAAATTAGAGGCAACAGGTTCTGTGGCAAATCTGCCAGGCTCTGGCCGGCCAAGGAGCGTTCGCACACCGGAAAATATTGCTGTTGTGAAGGAGAGTGTGAGAGACGATCCGAAACAATCAACAACGCGTCGATCCCAAGAATTGGGCATTTCGAGAACCAGTTTGCTCCGCATTCTCCACAAGGATTTGAATGTACACGCCTACAAGATCCAATTGACGCAAGAGCTGCGTCGGCCGACCATTTTTCGCGCCGAACGTTCTCAGATTGGCTCCTTGAACACCGCCAAATTGATGCCAATTTTTCATCAAAGATCATGTTCAGCGACGAAGCTCATTTCACTTTGAATGGGACGGTAAACAAGCAAAACTGCCGCATCTGGGCGATCGAAAATCCCCGTGAGTATCAAGAGCAGCCGATGCATCCTCAAAAAGTGACTGTGTGGTGTACATTGTGGTCAAAAAGCATCATCGGACCTTACTTTTTCGAAAATGCGGCCGGGACGTCGTTACCGTCAATTCTGAGCGATATCACGTGATGATAGAGGACTATTTTTTGCCGCAACTTGAAGGAATGGATATGGACGATGTTTATTTCCAACAAGACGGTGCAACATGCCACACAACCAACGTCAATATCCATCGATTGCAGTCCTTCTTCGGTGATCGCGTGATTTCGCGCAGAGGAAATGTGCCATGGCCACCAAGATCGTGCGATTAGACTCCCTTGGACTTCTTTTTATGGGGATATTTGAAAAGCAAAGTCTACGTCAACAAACCAGCCACCCTCCAAGAACTCAAAAACAACATCATTGCCGAGATAAATGCCATAGAACCGACCATGTTGTAAAATGTCATTGACAATTTCGACTATCGCGTGGACGTCTGTAAATCCAGTCGTGGTGAACATTTGAGCGATATTATTTTTCATAAATAAAAGGTATAAATGAACCTTCAAAATAAAGTACCCAACTTGATTTGAATATCAATCTTTCTTGTTTTAATATGCGTTTACTTTCCTGCGTCCTTATGGGACAATCCCATACTTTGGAACTTTCTAAGCTGCGTTTTGATAGCCATCTAAATAGGCAGCTTTGTTCCCATTTAAGCGACTTCGTATCTCTTACAGCTTGCGATCTCAATGATGAGTGTCGAACTTGAAACACCCGGTATATCCATGAATATTTTCATGGTAATCTATTTACATCTACCTACATATCTCATAAAAGTGTGATACCGCCTCTTATCGGTTAAATTGAATTTAGTACAAAATTAACCGTAATCGGTATTTGCTACAAAAACCACGATTCTTCAACTTTGCAACATTGTGGTGAGTAGAAGCCTACATATATGTACTTCAAAAAACATTGTTCGGGATCGGTGTATTTGTTCTTAAAGCGAAGTTTGGACACGTTGGTTTGAGCGTCCTTTTACATGATAAATCATGAATTGGGGACTTTTTTTGTGTCTAGTCTGTTTGGATTTCCTAATGCATAATTTCCGATACAAAAGATTTGTCTCGTCACCCTACAAAATACCACCAGTGCAAATCTTCAAAACTGTAGCAGCACTGCTTAAATGAGGCCGCAGTATATTTGTCTTTCATTAAGGTCGCATGCCCCTTTTCTTCAACTCTCTATTTGGGGCAGTATGACTATTTCGTGATGTAGTCTAATCATATTAGCAAATTTCCCCGAAATAATTATAAAGTCTGGTTTTATTGGTGCAAGTTGTTCAAGGGGGTATTTAAAACATGGACGCATAAAATGGGTACACCAGATTTGTGGGAAACTTTTTATTAGACAACAAAGAATGAGAGAACGTGTTTATTGGATTCAACCGAAAATGTTGACAAGAACAGAAAAACTCTTTATACAAGATTTTTAGGTATTTATGAGACATAAAATGAGAACACTTAAAAAGATCCGAATAATAGCAAAAATGTAAAAAGAGGCACAATGCAGGTTTTGGCACTTGTTGGTGATGAGACTATAATAAAAACTACTTAAATTTCTTCAAGTCCGTAGGATTCATACTTCTAAATAACAACAACAAAATTGGAATATATTGGTCAAGCAGTTTTTTGAGAATTTCTAATTGATTATCGCAAAACGCCAGTTTTTCGGCCATCACTACTAGTTTATTGAGCAATATACAGGGTTCGTTCAAAGAGCATCGAATAGCAAAATACACGTGCTTACCTTGCCGATATAAATCACAAACCATTCCGAAAGATAAATGTTATTTTTATGCAGAAAACAAAGGTTACGTTTTTTTTCTAAACAAATTCAAACATTTCGTATTTGTAATTGAACAAATGCGCTACGATATTCGAAAAACATACGTTATTATACACATATTTCATCATCTTTTGTTGCTAATTACTCACAAATACAAAATGTTTGAATTTGTTTAGAACGTTGATTCCCAAAGTGGTCTATATCGACCCCTAGGGGTTTATGACAACCTGCAAGGGGTCTACGTCAGCCAAAAAAATCTGGGGTCCATGAAATGAATATGGGGGTCCACGATAGTGGATCTCAACACATACACTGATAGTACCTATTTACTTACATCATACAATCTTATAATATCAAAACATATACATTATTTATAAAAGTACCTATGAAGTAAAAAATTTATTATATATGTTTATAAAATTGTGTAAGTTGTACGATGTTGGTATTCGCTTTGTGGTCGCAATACATTTTGAACTTGTAAAAACCTGAGAGTCGCAGTCTCAGAGCTTCGCTACCTTGCACTACTTGTTCAATTCGTCACTCTATAAATACGAATGTGGGACAAATACGTTTACTCGTTTCCTGAATCTTGAACAGGAAAGTGCTAAGAAAATATTTTAAAAAATATAAACAGATAGTATATCACACAAATTATAGTGAGTCAGTGTTATTTTGTTTGAGAGTGCTGGAGAAAAGTAAGTACATTATTTTTTATTAAATTTTGGTTTTGTACTCGTAGTTAGCAAAGATAGATAAATTACGCCAATCATGGCTTTAGTTATTAGTAGTTAAATATTCAATCATGCAAAATTACATCAATACTCTTCAATAGCTTCTTTTTGAAAGTTTTAGCAATCGGTAATATAATTACAGTGCAATCTCCGTAATTCGAGCTAATTGTTGCAAGAAGATATTGGAATTATGGAATGTTTTCGGAAAAATCAAAAAATATTTTTAATATACAGCTGCTGGATTTTCTGTCTTATTTAAATAATTTAATTTTGCCCACAGACGACTGATGCCATGTCCGAATCTAAAAAGAAATGTAGACAGTACAGTGTTGATTATTTGAAATTTGGCTTCATTCCATCATTGCCGGACAAACAATCGCCTATGTGCCTTTTATGCAACAAAGTTTTGGGCAATGACGCTATGAAACCATCTAAACTGCAAGATCATCTGAGAAGATGCCACCCTGATAAAACAGAGAAAGATTTGAAATACTTTCAAACACAAAGATAAATTTCAGAAGAGACCTACACTGTACATAATGTTCGTTAATTTTGCCAGCCGTTGAAGAGGTTTTAAAAACTGTTTTACACAAACCTGCATCTGATATCATTAAAAGAATTCCCTTAAGCAACAATACTGTCGAAAGACGTATTGATGAAATGAGTTCTGATATTGATAGCTTCTTATGTAATTATTTGCAAATTACCCATTTCTCTATACAACTGGACGAGTCAACTTTACCTGATAATGCAGCATTATTATTGGCATATGTTCGTTTTATTATGAATCAAGAAATCTACGAAGAACTGCTCTTCGCAAGAACTTTGATAACCGACACTA